AAGGACTCCCATTTTTCAAGCTACAGCCAACCTGCAATAGCTAGGAACAAAGCGTTCGACATCATTACACTGTTCCGCGCGTATCTCCGTAGGGCAGGAAAATGCCAGCATGTACGGCCGCGTACGGATAGACTCACACGCAACCGGCACTCTTTTATCCGGACAAAGATCGGCGAGTCCTTATTTTCTCGACATCTGCCCTCCGTCTTCTTTCGATCCCATTTCTCCTCCTACGTGCTTTCACGGAGAGAGCTTGTAATCCCGACGAGCATCAATGGGAGCGGAAGTCGGCGAACGAACGAACGAACGAACGAACGAACTTCGAGTGTTCTCCATGCAAACAACGTAGAAATGGTTAGATCACGTCGCCGCGCATCCGACTGACTTTGTACTCGACTAATTATTACAAGGTTGCCCATAATGGGACACGTAACGGTCTTTATCTTCGTGTTACGTCGTCTGATGTCCTCGGAATATCGTTAACGTCGCGCGGGATTGCGTAACGTTAATGTGCTTATCGAATAAACAACGGTGTCCTCCGCTTCCCGAATCCAAGTTCGCGCGAGCTACTGTCCTGTTCGTCCGTCCAAGTTCGCGCAGCTTCGGATCGCGCTCGTAAATGAATGTTCGGTTTAATGGCACGACAATTTCAAGGAGACGAAAAGACGATAAAGGGAGACCGTAGCAGCGCGGACAGCGCGATTCAATTCGGAAAACGGGAAAACCGCGAATACTCGCTCGACAGCGCCATTCGTAGACACTTGGCTCGTCGCAGTGGCTCGGGTCCTTTCACCCGCGAGTAAAATGCGCCACCCTCGCGAGTCGCGGTGCACCGTGGAACACTGGGAAACGGCGCTCGCGATCGCGGGGACTGCATAGATTTCGGTTGGATTTCACCGAACAATACCGAGACTAATGCCGATGATACAACGCACCGACGATGCCATCTCTGGAACTCGTTGGCTCGTCGCATTCGCTAAATCCGCGGCCGAGCCAGCGGAATATCACGACGGAGTCACACTTTTCTCGCGTGCGATACTATTAGCGTTGCGAGAAATTAGTGTACGCGCTCGCGGTTAAGGAATTAAATAACGCGTTCTCTTGTTCGTCGTTTCGCGTCTTCTCTTTCGAAAATGGCTTTCGACATACCAGTAGACGATGGGTTTTCGGAGAAACGATAAATTTCAGTGAATACCACTTTACGGCTGCGAACACACGGATACGTAACGTCGTACGATTTGTCCGAGTCTCTGGTCGTTCTTCGGGCGACAATCGGGGTCAATCGGATGTAAATGTAACTCGAGGAGAATACACGGCGCAGAACTGCGTTCACGATTCATCGATATCGCCGGTAGATTGTCGCGATTTAAATATCCGCGGAAGTCGGCCGATTTGCCCCGGAATGAACGCGACACGCGTGGGCGCGCGTCAAGATTCGCGTATCAAGTTTTTCATCGATTCCATCGAGAGGCATTTGCTCGATCGAGTAACCGCAAAAATTGCCGGGACCAACGGGTCCGACCTACTTTCCCCCGTGCACTCGAAACCCGCGAATAAAAGAGAGCTGAAATAACACGCTTCGCGATGATTTTTCGCTTTGATTGATAATCGCCGGCCGGAATCGATGCGCGAACCCGTCGCGGCGCGTCGGGGCTTTGTCCCCGGATAATTATTTCTATTAAATCGGTCGTCGGATGATACTATGAACCTATCCGACCGACGTTTATGCGACTCCATAATGCGATAATAAGATTTACGAGTGATTCTAGATAACGCGCGGCGTCGTTCTAGCTCATAAAATTCGAAGCTTCTTTCGATTTGTTTCCTTGCAACCGGAGCTATCGTTTCGCCGCCGTGAACTGGAAAATCATTCCGTTCTAACATGGATTCGATGCAGAAAAACGAGGAGGGACGTTCGCCGGTTTAAGTGAAACGGAACGAGGCATAAAGCGATCCGAGAAGAAGACTGTGAAAAACAAGGAAAAGGAGACAGAGGGAAAGCAGAAGACGAGGAAGAAGAAGGAGAAGAAGAAGAACACTTTAAGAAAAACTTTGGACCAATATTCGTATTTTGCTACAGGTTTCCTGGGTAAGACACCGGGACATACACTTACTAACGGTCGGTCGTTACACGTACACGAGCGACCAACGCTTCGAAGCTGTGCACTACCCACACACCGAAGAGTGGACGCTGAAGATACGATATCCTCACTGCAAGGATTCCGGGATTTATGAGTGCCAAATATCAACGACACCGCCTATCGGCCATCCTGTTTATCTAACGATAGTTGGTGAGTGAAACGTTATATATATATACATACGAGACGAGAAATTCCGTGCGCCGGGTATCGTTTCACGTCGAGCCTGTCTAAATACTTTCATCGTACTTCCCCGTTTCATTACCGTTCATCGAATTATTCCTTTCAAACGGGGATCGATCCAACGATAATCAGCCAGTCGTCGACAGCGACTGAAAATTCCGCGATGCATCGCGCCCGAGGATTCGCTCGGTCGGAATCGGGATTGTTATTCGCGTCGAAAGTTGACACGTGTCTCGGAGGCATCATAAATACAAGCAGCGGCGCGCGGTGTGCACGCGTATTCATTTAACACCGATATCGGCGCCGATTTAATGAACCGAACGTTATGTGGGTCAATTATTTTACCGATTCCGACACGTTCCGGTTACTACGTCGGGACCGTTAATATCGGATAACGACGCCTTGTTAAACTAAAACGCGATTTCATACGATTCGAACTGCGCATTTCGGATCTACGGAAATTTCTTGAATTCCCGGCATTCGCGAGATGCGCCGAGTGTCCCGGGAAAAGCGGGTTATTCGCGGGGAATCGCGTTCGAAGGGGTCAGGAGCGAAGATGGCGCGAATGCGAAACGAATTTCGGCGGTCGCCGGGTAGGGGGAAAAAAAGGGATACGGGTGGAACACGTCTACGAGCGTGTCCGCGATCGATGCGTTTGAAATTCAGTTCAAGATTGATGCGGAGACGTGTGTAGCGATGCCGCGTGAAAGGGGTCAATCGAGGATACGTATGAAATCCATACAAAGATTTTCATGCGGGTATTGAAACCAGGTGAAATCAGGCCGTTCACGAGCTCGTATATCCTCGCAGGTGTACCGTTAATGACTGCTCTGATACTTTAACCGGGGCGCACTATTAAATGAGAGGATCTTATCGCACTGGTTTGACCTGAAAACGTTACCCAACGCTTGTTTCCATTTGTCGCTGTGCGATAAAAATGTCGGCCATTTATACAATATTTCACGCGGACCTGTGCATACCGTTTTGTCCACAATGTACCTTCATCCTGATCGCATCGTACGATCGATCTTCGTGTTGCGAACAAACATCTCGACAATAAGTTTCCACCAATTATTCTTTAATCACTTGAACCCGGAACAGTTGAACGTTGACTGATTAACCTTTCACGGGCGAATATCAACGTTTCGACGAGATTCTCATATTTAGAAGACCAAGTCGTGAACGAATGATATAACACTAGGTTTACGGGCGTTTATTGTACAGTTTATTCTATTGTTCCTGGGGAAGTTGATATTCGTTCATGTAGATTTTGGAAATTGTAGATGTAGAAATAGACAATCAGGATTCATATTTGCGTAAATGGATCAACGAAAACCGATTGAAACGTTTGCCAAATAATGTTTATGAAGTTCAATCTCCGTTAAATTGACGCGTTCCGTAAACCTAGAGTTAATTACTTCAATAGCAAAAGATCATCATGTAGTTTCATATTTTTCTATTGTTCAGATAATTGATATATAATTCAGCTTCATCCGTTAACTCGTTTGCATCATACGAAAAAGTGGAAAATTGGTCCTCACAAATGTTTCCATTGCATCGAAATAAGAATGGTTCGCAACGTATGAAAAAGTAAGAACCTATATAGCAACCTATACATTCCCCTCTTTTATGATATACAAATTACACAACGGCGGCGCGCCTATATGCGCTTATGATGCAAACGTATTAAGGGTATTAATGGAAGCTGCAAATCGAAAACTGATATCTTCCGCGTTGAACGAATTTCGTTTAATCGACTCGAATCGAAACGTTTAAATAATTTTCAAGCACATCGCCGCGTCCACCGCTGGCCAACGATTCTCAATGGAGACCCGTTGCAATGGAAATAAACGCGTCGCCTTGAATGTCACCGACCAGCACCACTAGCCGCCGCGGACCGTTCGCGTCCGAAGTTCAATAAATACTTGAAATTCGATTTTTCAGAGCCAGTTACCATTATCGTCGGAGCTCCCGATCTGTTCGTCAACAAAGGTAGCACCATTAACCTGACCTGCGTGGTGAAGTACGCTCCAGAACCGCCGCCCTCGATGACGTGGAGTCACAACACGGAGGTGAATATACCCGCGTCCCGCGAGACATTCCCGAGCGATGATAAACCAGGATCGGAAAGCGATTTTTCATAGGATTCGAACGGAGAGGCCGCGCAACGCGGCGACGCGCGAGTAGAACGCGACATCCCGACGCACGCGTCTGCAACCGTTAAGATGGCGCGGCGGGAGCATTCTGCGTTCATTTAACGTTCTCGCTGGGTCCTTTGTGGCCGTTCAAAGGGAACACGTCGAGGAAAACGCGGCGCGTGTAAATACACTGCGGTGTGTATCTTTTTACCATTCTTCTCGCGAACCGTGAACCAAAACATCGTCTGTCTTCGCACGGAGCAACGATATTACATGCCACCGCGAGAATCCAGCGCGGAAGCGCGGCCTCCACGGGAATATGAAAATGCAGCCGCGGCACCTTTGAGGAAATGATTGCGATCCGTAGACTACGTCGTACCCGTGGATCCAATATCGCTTCTTTCTAACCGTACGCCTGAATTCAACGTGCCGTTCGCGTTTTCGAAAATACGCGGACGTTCGCCGTTTTCGAAAACATCTCTCGCGTCGGACGACTCACGGTCGAGTATCAGACTGAAATTCCTCGATAATGACGGGACAGCGGAATCTTTCGACCGGACTCGTAAGTTTCATCGTTTCTCGCGAAGCTTTTAAAATTCTTTCCACTTGATTTTCCTCTCCGTTTCTCACGCTTTTCCTCATAAACCTCGTTCCATTTGCGCTGATTAAATACCGTTCCCACGGCGTGGACGAATGTACGTTCCCAATTAGGAAACCGGATAGTCCAATTCCATCTCGGTTTAGAAGGTTTTCCCGTCGAGTCCGGTACAATTTGTGACCGACAGGTAAATGCAATTCTTTCGAGGAGCGCGAAAGCAATTCAGACGTAATCCGGGAAATAAATTGAACCCATTTCGAGTCTGTTCCCCTTAATGTCTGTGGTTCTTACTTTTTGGAAGGTATCGTCGATTATGTACCGGGTTCCTCGCGAGGAGCGGCCGGTGTCGAGGAAACACGCTGGAGCGGCCTGGAGAATTTTGTAACTCGCGTCGACTCGGTTTATCGTCGGAACATTCGGATCTTTTTTTTTCTGTGTAATGAGTCGCGTTACCGGCCGCTCCGGCCGCAGCCTGGTAAACGCGGCTGTGTAAAGGCAATTTTATCTGTTCGTCCAGATAATTAATTTCGACTCGCCGCGCGGCGGTATCAGCTTGGTGACGGAGAAAGGGCCCGAAACGACGAGCCGGTTAATGATCCAGAAAGCCGTGCCGAGCGACTCCGGGATCTACACCTGCGAGCCAAGCAACGCGAATCCCAGCAGCATCAAAGTACACGTTGTTAACGGTCAGTCCATGGTCGTGAAATATTTGAAAGGAACCCGCACGCGTCGTTTCTTCGTTCCGTCGTTTCGCTCTTTTAATTCCCGAATAAATCGCGAACGTTCTCCTATGGAACGAGAGAAACGCGCGCCGGGACGGTTTAACCCTTGGCACTCTAGGTTGTCTTGTAATCTATCAGCAACTGTGACTAATTTTTATAGTATCCCTGACGAAAATGAAAAATACTATAACATTTCTTCGATCTTTTATTTCCCTTCTCAGTACAAAATTTGGATGTGCGGTGAATCTAATAATTTTAGGGTAGTTCCTTTAAGATTCATTGAAATATCTAATATTATAACCGGTGCAATATTGGAGCCTACAGAGTTCAAAGGGTTAACATCGATTCGAGTCGACGCCAGTTCGAGCGTTTCTGCGCGCACCGGTCCCTTGAAAGCCACGAGTTTCGCACGGTTTATCATTTTCAGTAACGAAGCACCATCGGTCGAGCGAAACGTTCGTGTAACTTAACACATCGCGCACCGGCTAATTATCGGGAAATTGAATTGTGCAGATTTTCAGTGAGATCCACTTATATCACTATCTATAAAAAAAACTCAGATATCATATTGTTGTGTAATGTATTTCAAACGGACGACTAGTTCTAATCAAATTTAATGTTTCTTTGAATGCTGTGGTAATTAGCAAAGTTATGCAGCTAAGAGTCTCCGTGTAAAAACGAGATTTCTCGTTACCAGTACGCAGTGTGTTAACGATCGAACGCGGTGTGAACGTTTGACGGTATCGCTCGCATCCTTACGGAGAAATATAAAAGAGAAATGACCGCGGGGAACGTTTAGAGGACGAAGATCGGTATACATCCGGCGGAAGACCTTATCGCGCACTGAAAACGGACACGTGCATTCAACGATAATTCGAAATGAGTTGAGCCAAGTTTCCGGTACGTTGTTTATCAACTTCAAGCGTTAATTGCTCGGTAGAATGACCAGTACAGCCTTAGTTGACGCGAATGCAGATCGATGCGACACGTCGGTGCGCGCCGGTAATTTATCACCGTCATCGTTCTAACCGATCCGCTCGCTAACGTCTGTTTGCCCGTTCTTTCTCTTGATTGTCCGAAAACGAACGGAGACGCGAACCTCGCTGCGCGGACGAGCCGATCCCTTTCGGCCGGCGGTATCCCGCGCGATTACGAGGTGAACGATTTATGTTACAGAGGAACATCCGGCAGCGATGCATCACGGGGACGGAAGTTCGTCGTACGTCAGGGCATGGTCGATCGGTTTTATAATTTTAGTAATAGTTAACGTACTATTTATATAAGAGGAAAAGAGCGCAGCCCTCGGGCGGAACTGGCGGAACGAGCGAAGAAGAAGAAGAAGAAGAAGAAGAAGAAGAAGAAGGAACACATACTTACCCGACACGATATTGCATCGAGATCCGAAAGGATCGCGTCGCCTACCGATCGTTTGCGTTCTTTCGATAAATATTTGTGCAGGGTAAAACAGAATATTACCTACATTTACATTGAATTTCCGTGACCAAAACAGTTTTCGAATATCAGCACGGCACAATAATCGGTAAGAGCGTAGTATTTTGTTAAGATATATCATCAAGAACGAATAACTTACGACGTCTAAATTTATTGTATTATTTGTAAATAAATTTATTGTATGTACATATCAATAAAACGATTGTCTTTATCTTTCGACTTGTTCTTTGCACGCCACAAGTTGCATCGCCCTCTTTCGAACAACCCTCTTTTTCTCTCTCTCTTTCACTTTCTTCCTCTCTCTTTCCCACATTCTTTTTATTTTCGTTCGTACCCCGCAAGCGGAAGTTTCTTTCGTTTCGAAACTCCACGCGTGAAACTGGATTCCCTCGATCGACCACCGCGAGCACATTCAGCCAGTATTTCCCGCAGGAAGTTGCCGAAAGAAACGTCGACGCAGCGACGGCACCGCCTAATGACAACGTTAATTGCTTCGTCTATCTTGCGGCCATTAATTACACCGCGGTGCAACTGACTTTTCCGGGAAAGGTACGTTCTCGCAACGCCGGCCAACAAGAACCAGTAAAGTACGAGCAACGTTCCCGAACTCGAAGAACCTCGAGGTAGAACAGAATTCCGTGTCCCTTTGTTAAGAGCTCTATTAGCTACTCGCGGTGACAAAAATGTTAGTTATGTTTTTAATTGCTCGGGATGAAGTTCAAGCTTTCACGTCCGTTCAGACCAGTCTCCGCGGGAAACGGTGGCCGACGATCTGCTCGCGGAACTCGATCGACCGTGTCCCATCCGATTCGACATTTTAAAGTTTACCAATTAGCGACCGGCAACGATTGGCTGCGTGTAACGAGGGTAGGGCGCAGCCGTGCGCGAACGCGCGAGCGTTTGCCCCCGTTCGTATCAATTGGCCGCGGTGCAGCGAACGGTGTTCAAGTAGTCGATCAAGTCAACTATTTGTGGCTCTCTCAAGCGCGGAATGATGGGTGGAGCGGTCCATGCTCGATGATGTTGCTGTGTCTGTTGCTGTGTCTGCTGCTGCTGCTGCTGCTGCAATTTCGGCCAACAATTGTTCAACTTTCCCTTTTTCTTTTCTCGCTTTCGCGGACTCTCCTGCAGCGTTATCGATTTGCCGAACACGAAGAGACAGGGACCGAGATAAGGTCGGAAGTCGGGTATACTTTGCTTGTAGACAAGATTGAAACCACCGGTGTCAGCCATCGCGTTCACGGGTACGTCCATTACCACTGTAACAGAATTGGAAAGGATCTGAGTAACTCTTATTTAGTCGGTTCCTTTACTTATCCCATCGTGAACCCATTGTTATGAGCTTCAGATCCTTGTTCATCTTTATTTTCACCCTAATTGGACCACGATGTGACTTTGAGTCATATTTGAACTATTTACTTAAATTTTTTGATTATTTCACATTGCGTTTCCAAAAGTTTGTATGGGCTTTCAAAATTTGGGCCCTATAAACAATAACATTTCAATCGTTCCTTTTATTCTCATGAGTGAGAGTCACATCGTGTTATGATTCGTTATAAAAATAATTAATTATTCGTATTCGTTAATATAGCGATGCAGCTGCCGCGCTCCTTTCTATCGGTGAGATAAGAACAATAGTAGAATACTTTACTCTTATTAGCGATATATTAGGTCGTCCCATAAGTTTGCACCGCCCTATGATACTTAACATGAAATTGTGTCATTTTAAATATAAAATTGTTATAACTTTACCATTTGTCTCAAATACCTTCCACCGACTAAACTGAAACAGTTCAAAATTGCATCGCCTGTGATTACAAAATGTAACACGAGGAATATATTAACACACCACGACAAGAACCATAAGTTCGTTCCCATAAGTTTGTACCGCTCATTCTTTTCTATTTGATAAAATGATACTTAACATGAAATTGTTTCATTTTAAATATAAAATTGTTGTAACTTTACCACCTGTCTCGAATACCTTCCACCGACTAAACTGAAACAGTTCAAAATTGCATCGCCTGCGATTACAAAATGTAACACGAGAAATATTAATACATTAACACACCACGACAAGAACTTACGAGACGACCTAATAATATCACCTCTCTAACCGCTAATGCCGTAGTCATTATTCGATAGGAGAAATGAAGAATGAGAGACGAGGAAGACGTACGGACGCACCGGTCATGAAAGTAACGTCCCAGCGTGTACCAACGAGAAGAAAGCTCGAAGGCTTCCCGTTCGACCTAGATCCGATCAGAGAAAATTAAGGGTATTTCCGTGGGAGCGTCGCGAATGTGCCGAAAGAGTCGAAGGCTGGCCCGCAGCTCGATTCGTATTCCCCACCGGGAAAGTTGTTTAATCAGAGACCGGCGGGCCACGGCAGTCGATACCGGCCGATTTCAAAAGCTCGTTCGAATATTCCGAAGGAAACATCGCGGGTCATGGTACTCGTTGTCCGCTCCGATTTCCATTCACCGAAACTTTCACCCGCAGCCGCGGCTCCTGATAACTTGCTTCTGTTTGCGATTCCCCGCGGACCGTAGTTTACCAACCTTTAACCAAGCTATGGAGGACACTGGAGTAGAGTCGCTTGGTAATTCTCGAGCTGGGCGGGTGCATCCGTGGGTTCGTGTTGATCTCGATCAGCCAGACGGAAAGATCCTCCATCACGACGAAATCGGCTCCGTACAGCTCGAAGCTGCAGCGTCTTCTGTCCATGTGCTCCTGGGAGGCCAGCATCGTTAGAACTATAGCTTCCGAGATCCTCGGGTAGATCCTCTCGTAGTACGGTTCACCGTCGAGTCCAATTTGCCTGTCGAACGCAACGGGCGTTTCGGTGCCGATCGTGAAAAACGATGCTCGGTTAGGATCGCGCGGTGTGTCGCGAAGGATTACATTGGCCCCGATTTAAAATCGGGAAGAACGGGTGGGCGCGACCGACGTCGGATGTACACGGCGGAGGGGGGCAGCGGACTTGGACCGACAACGAAGTACACGGTTCCTGAGCATATTTGCGCGACGGACCTATCAATCTCGAGATCCATCCCTACGGGCTATCGAGTGTAACGAACGGATAACCGAAACTTCTCCGTGGAACGAGTAGACCGGTCGGGCGAGATTACTTTAAATATTCGTTCAGCTTCTCGCAGTCCCATCCTTGATCGCGAACCGATTTTACGACTTCCTCCGAATACCCGCGCCTCCTCCTCCTCCGCCTCTCCTCGTCGTACTTCTCCTGAATGGCGGTATTGCAGATATGAATCGCTTCGTGATAAGTTGAGAAAGTGTAGGGCTTCGAGCTGAACCGGAGTAGTCCTTCCCTGATGGAAGAGGATAAAAAAGGATGGAGGAGGATCAGGAAAATTCTTTGATGGAATCCAGCCGAATCCCCGCTGCGGGGAAATACTTTCGAGGAAAATTCGACGGCGTCCTCTTCCGCGTCGCGAATTGATTCCGTGGAATCGCTTTACGAGTGCACTCGTCTTCGCGCTTTTCCGCCGGTTAGCGTGCATCGTTAAAGTCTACTCTACTTGTCCCGTCGCGGGGAGACTTACTTGAACAACCATATTGTCAATGGGAACGTGTTGGTGACCAAGTACCACTGCCTTATATCGAACTTCGTGTCGTGAATCAATAGCGGACGTTCTGAGGGAGAAGGTAACGCCCAGCGTTCAAGCCGAATGGAAAGAACGGATCCGCGAGGAACCACGTTCGAATTCGGGGATACGTACCGATGTACTTCTGGACGATGAAGTAATCCCTCGGTCTGCTCCTTACCTTCCGGAATATATCCTTCAAGTTATGCGATATGCTTATTCCCGTGCCGCAACAGAGCTCGCTAGGCTTTAAAATCCACATGTTCCTCATTCCGTTCAGCTCGTATTGCGGATCGACTTCCTTCAGTTTCGAGAGTGTCGATTTCGCTGTCTCGTAACACTTCTGAGGAAAAACCCCACCGGAGACCAACGTAATAAACGCGACATCGTAACCGAGAAACGTGTATCTCAAAGTATACGATACAAAGATAGACAAGAGAGAGAGAGAGAGAGACGGAATTCTATGATAGATGCTCGATTACAGAGAAGAAACGAATGCGTCGCAAGTGTACCTGTAAATGTTGTCGAGCTTTCTCGGACGTGTACTCGATTCCGCCGCCTTCGTGAACGGCGGCGGTGTAATCGTCTAAAAAGGAATTCCATTCTTCTTCGGAAAGCTCGGCGACAAAGTCTTCATCTATGTTTCGGTGGTTCGCGCAAGCAATGAATTCCTCGCAACGCTTTATAGCGCATTCCAGTCGACTCATTGGAATGGTACGTTGCCCGGGGTCGACGGTGTCCCGGTCATCTCGCATTCTTTGTACGAACCACTTCAACAGGCCAGCGGCAGCGGTCAGTCGAAAATCCTCGAGAAAAGCTTTCGGCTCTCCGGTGAGGTTGTAACTTCGTGGGAACAGCACGCTCGACACGTCTCTCTCGTGGAACCAGTGCGCTTCGTCCAGTACACGAGCCATTCCTAACTGCATTTGTCGTGATCGCAAATACATTATCAACCTCTTACCGAACCCGGCTCGTTCGGCTCGCGAACGAATCGAAGGTGAACGCGGAACGAATCGCGAATTCCCTATTCTCGTTCTCTGTTTAAAGGGCTTAAACGGGTGTTAACCTTGGATGTGTAAACGGAAGGCTTTTGATATCTGTTCAGTAGAGTATTGCTACCGAGGCCACGGTGCCAGTCGACAAAGTCGTTTCGACAGTCCCATATAAAGTCTGGCGATTTGTGACGTAATAAAGCGAAAATCACCGCTTTCTCGTTTAACGTTCCATCCGGTAGGGTCAGATCGCCCAATGATCTTGCCTCCAAGCTGGCCACGCTACCTAAAGCATCCACCGGAGTTTTTACAATATTGCGAAAGTTCATAGCGGCCGGAACGCTCGGTTTTATTTAGACGTTCTCCCGGCATTTACGCGGTTAATGTTTAATTAAAGAAAGAGAGGAAAATGCGAGGCGAGGGGAAAAAAATTTAATCAAGAGGGCCAAGGAAACTAACCGTAACGCAGCGTTCTTGTTTTCGTGGCTTCGTATTTCTGCACCCAACCTCTTTCCTCTAGTGCTTCCTTCAATTTCGGTAACTCGCCGCGAATCAGAAATATTTTGTGTCTCTGGAAACCGGAAATACGTTTTCTTAAATGCCTCTCCGTCGGACGTCGGGAATTATCGAGATACATTCCCTTCGTACGATTCGATCGTCTTATTTCGGTCAATGTGAGTACCAGGTTGTTCGCTTTCTTTAAAGATTTCTACCTTGACAGCCCTGTTCACTCTCGCTTTAATCGTCTCGTAGCAATCTTTCCTCTCCCAATGAGCTTTGCAACAATCGTCGTCCTTCGCGACGACGTTCCTATAGCCGACGATTCCACTCGCATCGCGTTGCTGGCTGTTATCGAAGGTCTCCCGAGGGCAGCAGGAACACGTGTCCATGTACGATTTCGAGAATGCACCGCAGTCGAGTCGCGGCAGGCTGTTAACAGCGCTGATCTCATTGTCATCCGTGTCCGGAACTGGCCATTTCGCGTTCATTTTCGCTGAGTCTACCCGATTGTACGGGTTCACCGAGCTCTCCTTCTTCTCCAGACTAATCAAAGGAGTCAATTTACAGCCGGATTGGTTCCCTCTATCGTCACCGCTGGAGTCCATCGCCGCTGGTTCGCTCGCGATCTTAACGTCCCTCGATCGATGAAATCGAAACGTCTTGAACTCTTCCCTGTCGATGATCGGGGAATCACCATAAACTGTACTTATTGCTCGGTCGGAGCTATGTCGCGATGAAAATCCGTCGAAGAGTCATGAAACGTGCATTCGGCCGAGGAGTGAATCCATAATCGTATAAATAGAACCCGTGCGATGGTGATTCGTCGACTTCGCTGAATTTACGTCAGTTCCTGAACAAACGGATACAGCGGTTTTAATTCTTTAAGCACAGTGTTATACGCGTACCACCAGCGGGAGATTAAACTTTTGTACACAAGCTATATTAAATGAACGCAACGTTTCTTTCCCGGCGGAAAATTTGAATTAAGCGAGACGCTTAACGCAAATATTTATGAATGCTCTTATACTTTGAACGCCCGACGGTCCAAGCGGTAAAGGCTAAATCGATCAGCCCGCTTGTTTAACCTACTCGCCTTATTGTCCGGCGAGCGTCCTAATCTCCCAAGTAATTAACCTTTTATGGAACGAACTTCGGGGAAACTGTCGTTCGCCGTTAATAAAAGGGACCGCATTAATTCCACACGAAACCTGCGCACCCTTTTAATCGCGAAAAACAGTTCAGTCGCTTAGAAGCCAATGCAATTAAGTCGATTTCTTTATATTTCCTGGTTTTTGCAAATTTTAATGGAATAAATAATATTCTTTTTAATTATCAAACTAAACTAACTAACTTACTCGTTTCATCGTTTTTAATCTAGGTCAGACAGCCATTCTTTTTATAGCTTCTGGATATGTTGTATAATGATTTCAGAAGCCAATGCAATTAAGTTTCTTTATATTTCTTGGTTTTTGCAAATTTTAATGAAGTAAATAATATTCTTTTCAGTTATTAAAGAATTTACTCGTTTCTTCGTTCTTTTTTAGGTCAGAAAGCCATTCTTTTTATAGCTTCCGGATATGTTGTACAATTATTTCAAAAGCCAAAACATTAATTTTCCCAATTTTTGGTTCCTAGGCTCATCTACATTCGCTTCTAAGCGACTAATTTACGACCGAAGGGTTGAAACGAGTACAACGCCGAATTCGCGAGCATCGGATCGAAATATTATTTCAAGTATATTCGATTCCGCCCGGCGCGTCACGTATTTACAGCAAACATACGGAACGAACCGAGTCCCGATGGAACTTTCTGAAATCTTTCCTCGGTAAATACTCGCCATTGTAGCCGGGACGAACAATGTTGGAAATGCGAACTTCATCTCATCGTTCGTAAAATTGCCGGCATCCAAGGCTCTCCCGACGTGCGTGGAAATGTTTCGCGGAACTTGCTGGAAATCGTCCGGACATGCACTTTTACGAGTTCCGATGTCCCCCTAGAGTTTTATCAGTTTACGGGGTTTGATTGGAAGCTTCTTCATTGGATGTCGCGGTACCGTGACTCCCAGGATTCAACGGTAGCGTTGCACGTAAGGGCGAGACATACGTTTCAACTCGAAAATTTATTTCATGGTTCCTTTAATCCGAACGAAAGTTCAACTTTAGCGATTTCCTGACATTTCATACGGTGGACATGTTGCTTTTCGCCGACCGTCAATTTTTTTTTTATCAGCCGCCTCGGCGGAACCTTCGATTCCCGAGCACATTTGCGAAAATCCGTTGCGTATAACCAAAAACCGTGAGAACAGCACGAAGATTGAGAATCGTGCCGGAGAATCGTACTTTCGATCCAGCTTGCTGCAGGAACGAACGAGTTAACTAGCTAAGTAACCGCACCCACTGCACTCTCTAATCGCCAAAGGTACCGGGAATGCTTTTAAACTTTCCACCGACAATTACGCTCTTCTTTGCATAGAGGTTCTTCCATTAGATCTTTCGTCATTCCAATTATCACGGAATTGTTTGAAACGCGCGCATCGATGAGATTCAAGGAAGTTCGACTGTAAAGATTCAATGAATATTTCAAGCCGTCGGATCATACGTCACAATACAAAAATTCTATTTATCTTCTCGTTGAAGTACCGTCGTCGATTTCCAGTGATTTTCGAACAAACGTACGCACGCCACGGTATAGAATCGGACTAACTTCGGGAAATAGGCGAACGAAAGAACTTTCGAAAGAACGCACGCGATCGCGGGTTTCGAGCTTTTTGATCCATGTATTTTTGTTGTATCGGACGTTTGCGCTTTATCGTCCCGATGGCAGAATATATAAGCTACAAAGTCTACCGAATAAAAAGCTATTTCTCTCTGGTCGGGGGAAAACTAATTCGAATATGGACGGAATTTAACGTTAAAAGTTTTCAAATTAATTGATTTCATCGAAATTGATCAAATCGGCGCACAATGCGTACGCCCGCGGACAGGAACGCCAAAAACTCGGCTATCCGCATAACGAAAATTGAAAGTTATCAATGTGGTGTTAAATACTCCATACAATACAAAATGATTTTCATTTCAGAAATCAAAATTCAGTGCAAATAAATTCCGTTTCTCTATTTATATAACGTTCGAATCGAAACGCAAAATTTCTATCGCCATTTAGAGAACTTCGTAATATCCCAGTCATATAAAAAAAATATAATCACCATATATTTAGCTCGATATTTTACAACCTTTGTCTAAAACACTTTTTTTTATCACTCTATACTTTTTAAGTTATCGAGTTTTATCGAGGAGACGGCCGTTTGGTCGCACTGTGCGGCGAAATCAAAAGCTTCAACGGTTGGCGCAACGACAATTATAACGCAGAATAAAAATCGCAAGATGCACCGCCACGGTGCGCGGATTCACGCGTATCACGATGCAACTATTGCGCGAATCTAACCGCGGCGCATTGCGCCATAACCGAAATGTACTCGCAGTTGTATAAATCTTATTACAAGGTGATCTCGTTTGAAAGCGTCGGAGTACTCTCGTGCTTGTATCCCAAGGATTGTAGACCTTCCGCGACGCATTTTTCAACGAAGGAACAAGTTACGAAGTTCCCCGGTTAAGTTCGCGACGCCGCAGCCTCGTTTCTCTGCATTCCGCTCCGAGACCTTTCTGCTCTGATCCGATCCGCTTTTTCGAACCTTTAGAAATGTAACCCTTTGCACTCGAGAAGTGACCCTCGTTCACCACTTGATTTCATACAGTACAAAGAAAACGTAATATTTAACCACTTGCGCTGGAAAAACGTGCCACGCACGTCGAGACGTTTCTATACCAAAATTCTCAATGATGTCTTTCACGCATTGATACTCCTGTTGCATTACGCCTATTAGATTACTTCGAAATGTATCACTCCATACAGAATGATTAACAAACAAAATTAGCGTACATATCAGTGTAAAATAGGTGAAAACAAAATTCGCAGGAGACTTTGCCAAATTTCGGAATTCATTTCCAGCGCAAGTGGTTAATATTATACTCCGTGTAACGCATCAATTTGAGAAATATTGAAATAAAATAGCTTCGTTCCTCGATGTACGTGTGATTTCTCTTCGAGTTGGTTATTCACAAAATATCGTCTTTACCTCGTTAGAAAGTGTGAAAATATTTCTAGTGAAAAACGTCTGAATTCATTCTCTTCCATGTTTCGACATCTCAGTATATTCTCCGAATGTCTGAAATTGTCTCAGTGAAATAATTCGATTACACTAATTTATTTGCTGGATTTACAGTATATCGAATGTCGGCGAACATTAGCGAGAAAATGATTCTTTCTACCTCGCTCGCATAATTTTCCTTCCGGAAGTTGTACGCGCGGTTGTAATCAGTCGCGCGGAATGTCACGTATGGCCGTGCGCGCGGCCAAAAATTTTATTCAAATGTGCCCTCTTTGTAGATATTTCTCAAAGAGAACGACACCGTGTTACAGATTGCAGCGTCGAAGAGAACTCGCGCCCGCGCCAAATGTTATATCGCTAAAGGGACCTTTGTGCAATTTAAAGCAAAGTCATGTATTGCGTAGATTCTTCTTTGAGAACTATTTTTCTGGGGGAACTGCTCCGCTCCGCGTTCTGTTGCTCTACTTCCACCTAACGTACACGAATTCAAATCCGACCAGTAAAGTTTCCATCTCCCGGCGTGTCCGTATTGTCGCAGCCACGAAGACCTTTCATACCTTTCGCGCGTTCAACGGCCGCGACTTTTATGTCTCCCTTTTCACGTTCGCCCCGTCAAAACTGTGGGATTAACTTACTACTCCCCGGGGAACGGTCGCCGCCATGTCGTCTACGTCTTTAACACTTTGCGAGGTAAACGCTCATCAGAGCTCCTATGCAGTCGGAACAGTTTGCTTAACCCTTAGCGCACCCGGTGGTTTTGTAATCTATCAGCAACTGAAACTAATTTTTATAGCATTCGTAGCGAAAATGAGGAACGCTATAACATTTCTGTGGTACAAATGGAATTTGAATATGTTTTATTTACAAAAGAAACATAGGAATAGATAATTGAATAGAATACAAATAAATAGAAACGATATAGCTCGCAGTGTACAGGTCTTTTCAATAAATTCTCAAACACACCCTACTCTCACCACCACGCACTCATCATCCTTGCTTAAGCATCCCTCGGGAGAACCCAGCAACCCTTGGGCCCGGTCTCCATGAGTCCCTGTCTCTTTTATGGCCCTCAGAATACTCGCTGTCCAACTGTCTTAAAACTATGATACTAAATTTCTTCGATCTTTTATTTTCCTTCTCAGTGCAAAATTTGGATATGTGGAAAATCTAACGATTTTAGGGTAGTTTCTTTGAGATTCATTAAAATATTTAGTATTATAACTGCTGCAATATTGAAGCCTACAGAGTTCAAAGGGTTAATAAAGCAGAAACTGGAGGGTCAAGATTTTTCATAATTGTTAAGGGTACATGTTGGACGCAGGTTCTTTATGCGGAATAACAACGCAAGGGCTTAGTGAAAAAGGAGAGGTAACTTATACGTTGATATACATTTAGGAAATGCAGACAGAAATATACCAGGACTTTCTATGTCCTGTTCCACCGACTTTTCCACGTCGAACTGCCGGAAGGAATGCAGCCTTCGATACTGTAAGATGAGTATTGTGAGTAGGGATAGTTAATCGTGACGAACTGATTAAACGTATAAGGTATTTAATGTAAAATATATTATAGTATCTAGAATTC